ACACACACACACACACACACACACACACACACACACACATCTTTCTGTTTCTCTAATTTCAGAATTTTTCTAGGGGCTTCTTCAAACCCATGATCTAGATTCTAGAATGATCAAGGTCTACACGGTTAGGATAAGAGTAAAGTCCAAACATGCCTAAAATGATGCCTCACTGCTGGGGACAAGTTCGTTGATGACTTAAAGGGCCGAAAGAGAAGCAGTTCATCGGGGACCCTTGGATATCCTCACATCTGTTCCTCCAACCTCTGTGTTCCAACATCCCAGGACAAGCCCCTTGGTTTTGGTTTCCAGTCGACTTGTCCCCATGTGTATGTGACTGTGCCAGTGTGTCAAAGCCACTTGCAGCCTGACCTGGGGAAATGACCTTTTGGATCCACCCAGTCTACTGAGTATGGAGCAGAGTTTTCCAGAAGTTGCCCTGCTCACTCTCAGCTCCTGCTGCTGGCTTCTCCTTCAGACAGGCCTCCCCCCTGTGCCTTTTGGGGATGGATGTGCCTAAACAACCCTCAATAAAACCAAATAAAGGCCACAGCATCCTCACATTTCTTTAAAATTGACTATCTATAAAGAGCAAATACGGGGTGCTAATAAGGTGCAGGACAGCTCATGACACCACATGAAGATTCATTGTCTGCTCATTTGTTAAGTACTAACTGGGCATATATCCTGTGCCAGCCCATCCTGGACCCTGGGGCATGACAATAAGAGAACAAACATCCGCCCTTAAGATGCTTAATGTCCAGCAGAGAGATAGGTGCTAATGAATAAATCTCTCGTATGATTTCTGGGAGTAAGGAGTGTGCAGAAGGATAGACAAGTATGGAAGGGAGTAACTCAGATAATATCCATCCTTCAAAATCCTGAAGAGCATCCTTCTTTTGCTCAGATAAACCAGAGCAGAGGTCTAATATCTGTTGAGTCTGATCTTGGCCCAGCTGATGTCCACGCTGTGGCCTCAGGCAAATGACTCAACTCCTCTGACCCTAAGCTTCCCTGCGTGCAGAATGGGGGATCAGAGTCCTCTTGCTCAGGGTCTTTGCTATGGACTGAATTGTGTCCCCCCAAATTCATGTGTTGAAGACTTAACCCCCAGGGTATTTGGCGATAGGACCTATAAGGAGGTAATTAAGGTTAAATGAGGTCATTAAGGGTGGTGGGGCCCCTGATCGAACAGGATCCGTGTCTTTATAAGAAGGGATGTTCTCTTTCTCTCTCCTTCTCTTGCTCTCTTTCCCTCCCTCCCTCTTTTTCTCTTCCTCTCTCTCTCTCTCTCTCCCTTCCTCTGTCAATCTCTCTCCCCTCCCCCTCCCCCCGCCCCCACGTCTCATGTGAGAAGGCAGCCGACTACAAGCCAAGAAGAGCATTCTCACCAGAAACTGATTCTGCCAGTACCTTGTACTTCCAGCCTCCAGAACTGTGAGAATGAATTTCTGCTGTTGAAGCTGCCAGCCTACAGTGTCTTGTCATGGCAGCCGGAACCAACCCAGTTGTCGAGAGGAACGGACAAGGCCCAGCATGGCCACAGCTCAGTGAGCAAAGTCATCATTGCTTCCGATTAATCATTACTCCCTGAAGGATTTTCATGATGCCTTTTATCCAGGGGGCTCTCCAGGGACTTTGAAAATATGGGGATATTTTTGACAATAAAAATCCTTACATCTCTTAACTCTGACAAGGGTGGCACAGAGCTTTAGGGCCTCCACTGCTGGGGGACCAGGATATTCACGGGGTCCGGGGGGAGCCCTGTTATGAACAGCAGTGGGGTTGGAAGATGCAGAGCCTGGCAGAGAGCGGGTATGGGGGAACCAGAAGAAGAGAACATTAACAATAGTTATGTTTAAACTTTGAGACTAGGGGAGAGTTCTATTTCTTGGTGCTTTCCTGTGTTTTCCACTTCAAGTACACTCTACTTTTCTACATAAGGGAGGGAAAGACCTCATAAATGTTATTAGGAACACCAAGAAGTGGAAGTAGGAGGGCAGTCTGAAGAGAGAAGATTCTCAGAGAAAACCAACAACCACACAACAGACACTCAGGAGAACTATGGATGCAGGAAGACGATGGAATGGTAGAGGAGCCCAAGACTGTCCTTTGTATCTCCTGTGTTGGCTGTTCCCTTCCGCTTTTATTTTCCTCTGAGAAAGGCTTACTTGAAAGAGCCTCAGCCTGGGAAGGCCTTGAACAGTAACGCTATAATGCAGTATATTAACATGAATTTTACCAAAGGCCTCAGAGATTTGGCCTCCCTGAACAGAGTCAGGCAGGCCTTGCCCAAACTTGCAGAGTCAACATTTCAGAATGTGGTGGATGCTAAGATGAGCAGACAGAAGGTGAGGGAAAGATGGCAGGCTCCATGCCCTCACTGATGAGAGTTGTGGCTCCGCCAGGTAGGGAGTCTGACTGATCCTTGAGGGGAAGATTATCAGGGACAACTTGGCAACTGTGAGAAGTAACACAAGTGACTCAGGAAGGGACTCTGCCTTCACAGGGCATGACCCGTTTTGTTTACTAGGTGATCCTTTAACTCAATTTTCTTCCAGCCAAGGGTGGGATTCAATAATCCTCTGCCCTTCCCAAATTTTAGAGCTGGGGAATGTGCATTCCTCGGGTCCCTACTTTTCAAAGTGGAAAATACTCACGGAGCCCAACTCCTGAATGGTGTGACTTTATCTGTTTGCCTCCTCCCCATGTGGTTCTCTTGTGGGTAGCCCGGCTGGAACTGTACCTGAGTCCAAGACTCTGTGTTTCCAGATCTTAGCAAGACTGCAGGTGCTGAGGCAAACTTAAAGTCTTTTCTTCAGCTGAGTGTTGTAATTAAATATCGCATCTGTTAGTGAGACTTCAGTAAAGCTGTTAGCATTCTAGGAAGCTTCAATTTATTGACCTACCTCTAATGTAAGCAAATGCTGCCAGAGAGTTGCTAACAATAACTCCATCTTTCCTTAGAACCCTCGGTTTGCTTGGGTCAAAGTCTATACCTGTTTCATAAAAGATGCAAAACTGATTAATCACAGCTATTCACGGTATGCCTTCTGCTCCCAACACAGGACTGCCATAATAAATAAAATGTCATAGAAATCAAATCAATGGGCCTCTGACTGAATTACAGAAGACTAAGCCAGGAAGAGCATTTAGTAAATAGTCTCTGAAAATATTAAGTGATAAGGGGGATTTAGAAATTCTAAAATGTGCTGGTTCCAACCTCAGGTGCCACTCATCCACCCCACTACAGAAGGGAACAAACGGATTTTCCCATCCAAAAGGCAATGTCATTCATCATGCCTCTGGGAGGCTTAATAATGGCTTACCTAATCACAGAGCTGTTGTCTGCGCTGTTGACCATAGATAAGAAGGGAGGGAGATTGTGGAGGGAGATTGTGTGGGGCTATTTTTTGGAAATGCCAACAAAGTATAGGGCAGGTCTGGTTTCAGATGTCTGGTTACACTGCTGTGATAGAGCTTAGGGAGCTTCTGATGGGTAGCCTGAGAGCTCTGGGGACCCCATGGGATGTGAGACAGGTCCAAAGAAGGGTGGCACAGAGCTCTTGGCCTCTACAGCTGGGGGACCAGGATATGCATGGAGTCCAGTGGGGAGCCCTGTTAGAAACAGCAGTGGGGCTGGGAGATGCAGAGCCTGGCAGAGAGCAGGTCTGCGGGAACCAGAAAACAGAACATTAACAATAGTAATCTCTGAGCTTTGAGACTAAGGGCAAGTTCTATTTCTTGCTGCTTTCCTGTTTTCCATGTCAAGCATACTTTATTTTTATACCTAGGGGCAAAAGACCTCACAAATGTAATAAAAGTAATACAAAACAAACTTTGAACACACACAAAGTGTAGTATCTTAGATGCTCTACAGAAACTTTGCAGTTTCCATCAGGCGCCCCAAGGGTCTGATTTGATAAGAAAACCAAAATGTTCATTCCCCCTCCTACTCACAACAGCCCAGTGAAAGCCCAAGGGCAGAGGTGGCATGTGTTTGGAGGCCCTCAAGTCCAGCCTGGGTCTGGCCCACCCAGGTTCCTGGTGGGGTCATCATTCCAACAAGCTCATCATAGAATTCAGGAACCCCAAATTTGTTTCTGAGCAGATCTCTTTTTCCAAGTGACATTTCATTTAAGAAATAAGAGGGGAATGGAAGGAGGATTTATTCCACTTATAATTTGAAAAACAAAACAAAATGTTGGCCACCATTTACAATCCATCGCAATAGCGCTGCCATTATCAGAGCTGGTAACTCCAGCTCACCTCCTGACATCCCCTTTTCATTCCAACCAATGTGCACCCAACTATGGTCACATGGGGCTGTTTACCTTTACTTAAAGAGAAATGCTGGTAGTAAGCCATAAAAATTACCATATTCACCATCTTTCTGCTTCAAAGAAGGTTTTAGATTAGCAACGGCTGGATCAATCGCTGTGAGTATGTTCTTGGGAACTAAAAACCAGAAAAGAAATACTTTAAAAACTTTTTACATTTAATATAATTTTTTCACTGCAATGTGGAGAAGATACAAAAAAAATCCACTTTCAAATCAGTACATAAATCACCCACTCTGCTTATCAGATACACTCACACACATAGGCTATGTGACCATCAAATGTCCCAGAAAGGTAAAATTTTGGAGAACAAGTAAACAAGCTATAGTACATCTACCCAACAGAATATTTAGCAATAACAAAAAACAAAGTCCTAGCATCTGCTGTAACATGGGTGAGCCTCAAAATCATGATGCTCAGTGAAAGGAGCCAGACACAAAAGACCACACATGGTATGATTCCATTAATATGAAATATCCAGAACAGGTGAATGCACAGAGACAGAAAGTAAGTTCTATAGTGCTTACCAAGAATCAGGGGTGGAAATGAGGACTGACTGCCCATGGATGTCAGAGAACTTTGGGGATCATGGACATGTTTTAAAATTGGAGTACGGTGATCATTGTGCAGCTAGCTCTGTAAATTTACTAGAACTCATTGAATTGTTTTTGCTTAAAATGGGTGAATCTTAGAGCATGTAAATCACACCTCAATAACACTGTTAACTCTGGGGGCGCCTGGGTGGCTCAGTTGGTTGAGTGTCTGACTCTTGGTTTCAGCTCAGGTCGTGATCTCGGGGTCATGAGATCGAGCCCCGCATCAGGCTCTGAGCTCAGCGCAGAGTCTGCTTGAGATTCTTTCCCTCTCTGCTCTTCCCACCACTCATGCTCTCTTTCTCTCTCTCTAAAAAAAATTAACAACAACAACAACAACACTGTAACTCTGAACATGAACCCCTTGAGATGTAGTGAAACAAAATGACTGTAATTGACTCAGAATCCACCACAGACCTCCTCTCCTGGCCCAACTCTGCTTTTCACCCACAGCTCTGAGTCCTCGCTTCCTTAATGAGCCTGAAGAGAGTTCTAAGACTGCATGCAAGAATGAAAGAATGATGCTCTAAGGGCATTTTAAATGCAATAGAAAAACGAGAGGAGAGCAGTGTAACAGACTGTGTTGGAAGGTAATTAGAGATTCTGCCGAAGTGACCCTAAGAATAAACCATCCTATCTCAAGGTGCCCCGAGGAAAGCAGACAGGATGGTAGCATGCAGAGGGCCAAGCAAGAATTCTGAAGGCCAAGCGTACCGCAGCCAGCCAGGAGAAGGGAGAGGAAACCAAATATTTTTGCTGCAGAATATTGCTTATTTTTGTTTGTTCTCTAGCTCAGCTGGAGAGAAGTGGCAACAGGAAACAGAAGTGAGCCAACATAAACTGTGCAAGTTCAACTGCACTGATTTTTTTTTTTTTTTTTAAAGAGCTGGTGAGGGGCGCCTGGGTGGCTCAGTCGTTAAGCGTCTGCCTTTGGCTCACGTCATGATCCCAGGGTCCTGGGATTGAGCCCCGCATCGGGCTCTCTGCTCAGCAGGAAGCCTGCTTCTCCCTCTCCCACTCCCCCTGCTTGTGTTCCCTCTCTCGCTCTGTCTCTCTCTGTCAAATAAATAAATAAAATCTTTAAAAAAAAAAAAAAAAAGAGCTGGTAAGACATCTTCAGCAGCAAGAAAACCTCATTTCCTTTCTCAAAGCGCTTAACTAAATTCTTTTAGGGATGTCCTGGGACTGACAACCAGAGAGCATTCCTCAATTGTGCATTTTCCTCATGCGGGACACCCTGGCGCCTTCATGCCCCTTGGCAGTGAGTCACATCCAGGGCTGTAATGTGACAATGACAGGAGGCAGTGCTGTCCAGGGACCCTGAGGAATGCCCCTTGGCTGATGGCGGGCACACCACTGATTCTGGGAGCAGAGCAGTGCCACAAAATGCTTTCTGATGAAATAGCCTCTTGGTCATGCTGCACCCTGGGGAGGTGCCCCTGATTCCTTGGCAGGATTAAGTCCTCCCTGCCAGGAGTGGCACATCTTGGACATCTGTCTCTTGGCTTGTTGTCAAGATACAGCCTGAGTCAGGGGGCTCACTGTAAATGCCAGAGGCTCTACAGTTTGGGAAAGAAGAAGAGCTCAGAGAGCCCAGAAGGACAGTCTGGATGAACTTTGCAGAATACCCAGGCCCTCATAAGACCTTAAACTGCCGTGTGTGATACAGGCTCCTGTCAGGAAACTTGCCCATTTACTACATAAAAATTCTCTAGTGCGAGAATTTTTAGGAACTTGAACAGAACAGGTGTTGATGCACCTGTCGGATTCTTGCATCTCCTTGTTTCAAGAATGAAGATGGCGCTGGGGTGTGATTTACGTACCACCACCCTTCAAACCTGCCTCTCTCCATTTTAGATACGTTTGTAAAACCACCAGCAAGCCATTATTCCTGGAGCTCTTAATACGTCGGACCCTGGGCTCACGTTCAAACAGTGCATCTTGGTGTTCATGGTGCCCCTGGGAAGATGTGTATCGTCCCCATTCCTGCAGATGGGACAACTGAGGCTCAGAGATGCACCGTTCGCCTAGGAAGAGGTAGCACCTCAACGTGGTCTTGTGCACACGTACCCTCGATCTCTCCATGATGCTGTGCTGTCCATGGGACGCTCAGCCTTTGGGAACTGGATCAAGGATCATAAAGGTGGCAAAGTGATATCCACTCAGACAGTCCCTGTGAGTCTGTTTAGGTAAAACCAGAGAAGATGATCCACTAAATTTGGGCAGGGCCCCCACCTCGACTTCTTCCCCCAACCCCGAATAAATCTCCTGTGTCAAGCTTGGGTCAATGCGGACTTTAAGAAAGAAGTCTCACTTAGGGCCCAAAAAGATTCTTCATGTCAGAGACACACAGTATTTCTACTTAACTTCCCCTTTTTCTCACTAGGAACCCAGACTGCACGAGCACCTATAAATCCTGGCACACCCCTAACCCGCCTTTCCCCAAACCCTGCACCCCCTATTCCTCCTGTCCCCGATTCTAGCATCTCCTATACCATCTGTCCCCAAATCCTGGCACTGCATCCCTCTTGTACCCCAATCCTGGTACCCCCCTTCCCCACTGCCCCCAATCCTGGTACCCCCTTCCCTCCTGCCCCCAATCCTGGTACCCCCTTCCCTCCTGCCCCCAATCCTTGTACCCCCCTTCCCCACTGCCCCCAAATCGTGGAACCTATCCCCCTTGCCCCTAAATCTTGGTACTGCCATCTCACCTGTCCCTAAATCCTGGCACCCACTTGCCTGCCCCGTCTCCTGGGAGTAGCTATTCAGGCCCTAGGCTGAGGTCCACGCATTTCTTGCACCTTTCAGGCATTATCAGGGTGGGGATGCTGGCCGTGCCTCTGTCTCGGTGACTCTTGAGTACTAGTGGCTATGGATACAGAGAGAAGTCCTCCCTGCAGATGTGAGGAGGGAGAGTGGGCTGAGTTTTCCAGGTCTGGCTTATCCTATGAGGAGGAAAGTCTGAAATCCAGCATATCCAAGAAGTGGGCTAATGCTTAAACTCGGAGGGAACACACAGAGGACCTCATTTAGCAATGCACTAAAGAATACTGGAGGAATGCATCCCAGCCCCATCAATGTGCTCTGTGCTGAGTGGTCTGACTTTAGTCAGACGTGCTGCCTACAGATTGAAGAGCAAAGGGCCCACGGCCTGAATCATGCCCCAGGGCTCCACAGAGATGCAGAAATTCTCTGCCCAGTCTAAGCCCTGCGGGGAAGAGAGAGCCAGGATTAAATGAAGCTCTATAAAATAGGGAGGCGTGTTCTTTTTAAAATGCAAATTGATTAGGTCCCCTGAGACAACTTGTCAGGGGCTCCCCACCCTTGGATAAAAGCCTGGCCTAACCTCCCATCCCCCAGGTCTCTCCAGTGCTACTCCAGTTGCCCGTCCCTCCTCCCACCTTCACTTGGCTGACTCCTACACACCTGGTCTTACTTGCCTCTAATGCCACTTCCCCCAGGAAGCCCTCCTTGTCCCCCAAGTCTCCAGAGCAGAGATCATGCTGCTCATTGTAATTTCCCTACCCCCTACCAACAGGGGCAATCAGAGTCCCTATGGGTGAGGCATCCCTGCCCTGCCTCCTGGGTCTTATTGGAGATGGGTGGCCTGTGTCTATAGAAATGAGGGCCCAGAGCTTGATGTTCAGTACTTGTCCCTAACACTCCTCTCCCCTCCCCACACCCATGGAGTGGGGTGTCCTGTCCCCTGGGTGGAACAGCAAATCTGGGTCAGACGCTGCAGTTAGATACAGGGTATTGGAATAGACATCTATGGGGTGGACCTTCCCTGACCCTCTTATGTAAGAGCATCTTGACCTGGGGTTTGGCCGGGCCCCCTCTCTAGGAAGCCATGTTTATTATCACGTCACATGGTCTCTGGCCGGGGCTACCTGACCCCAGCCCAGCCAATTAAATATCTTTCTGTTAGAAATTTGGAATTAAGATTGTCAGACTGCAAGTCTCCATAATTGTTAGAAACAGGATATAAAAATCATGGAGGCTGTAGGGGTGGCCATACGTCACCCAGCTCAGGCTCACAGGGAGGCTGGGTGCAGAAGGAGAGAGAGAGAGATCGAGAGCGAGAGAGAGAATGAGGAAGCAGACGTGCCATGAGAAGCAGAGAAGAGAGATGACAGGGTTTTGCCATGACCTTGGAGCTACCTACCCTGAGGCCTTGCTTCCCTGTCCTGGCTTCAGTGGCCTGATACCTATCCGCCTCAACCCCCTTTTGGCTTAAAACAGCTCAAATTGGTTCCTTCACTCACATCCAAAGAGCACTAACTAAGACAGATTCTTAGTTAGAAATTAATTATTAACATCCTCGGTCTTCGTATCAACTTCCACAACGGTTAGGAGAAATTTTTTAAAAATGTAAAACCCTGCACTCTCATTCGGTGACTTATAAAATATTCAGACATTGCAAATCATTTTCTAATGATTCAGGCTGCACAGTGAAGAGCCATCTGGCCGGGGGTGGAGGAGAGTATATTTTTAAAATGCCAACCACTTAGAAGGTGATTAGAAAGCGTCTACGTGGGGCGGGGGCGGTGGTGGATGGGCACGAACTTGCCTCACAGTGCCAGGCGCCCCCTCCCTTTGGAATAAGTTCTGGGGGCCACACTGCTGGACAAGGGGGCACTGTCCTAGGGAGATGGAAGGACACCGTCAATGCCCCATTTACTGCACACACTCCCCAACCAAAACCAAGTTGCAAACCCCCTCTCTGACCTCAGCCTTCTGGCTTCAACTGGACTCCCTCAAGTGCCTCCCTCCGCCATTCCCAACTCACCCAGACCCCTCCAGGGACCCTCCTACTCTCCCTTCTTCCTGGAGCCCCTCCCGTCTGCAGCTGGGATTCCTCTATCCACCACTGTGATCACTCGCTTGGGAGCACCCCAACTCTCTCCCTCCTTTGCCATTGATCAGGGAGCCTGGAGGACCCCTCTTCTCATGTCTGCTCTCAAGGAGCTGACCGCACTGGAAGGAACCAGACCAGCGGGCAGACTAGTGTCCCCGAGAACCCTGGCACTAGCCTCCCGCCCCCCGCAGCACTTCCTTTATACCTTCTCTCGTCTTCTCCAACCCTCTTCCCTCCCCGGCCCTCACAGCTGATGACCTCCTCTCATACTCAGAGAAGACAGAGTCCCCGAGACAGAACAGCAAGCCCTCCAGCCACTCTGAGAGCCTCCTGTCCTGCTGCGACAAGGGAAACAGCCTTCACGCCCATCTGAGGCTGACCCCGTCCCTCTGCCTCCTCTGGGCCCCCACTCTTTCCACCAGGCAGGTGTCCTCAGCGTCTCTCACATCTTCCCACTTTCCAAACCCTTCACAGATTTTTTACTTGCTCTTGTTCCAGCTGGTTGCCCACCCCCAGCCCACTGCAACCCATTCCCCGCCCCACAGCCCACAGACTGGTCTCTTAAGAGTCCAGCCATCACAGGGTTCTGACTGCCCCACCGCAAGCCCTCCACTGGCACCTCCCCCGAGGACCCTGCAAGACCGGATCCTGGCCGCTCCGGAGCTATTTCATGCCACCTTGACCTCACCAGCTCTGCACCTCCCCCCTCCTCGGCTCTTCTCATGGGCTGCCCAGATTTACCTGGTGGGTTTCCCTGCTTGTTTGTTTAGTGGTCATCTCTCACCCTCAACTGATAATTCCAGGGACAAGGACCATGCCCCCCCCTTTTTTTAACCACCCAATTCTTGGCACCGGGCACCACCCTGACACAGAGCACATGCCCACAGTGCGTTGAATGAATGGACGAGGGAGAAGAAGCTTGAACTGAAGCAGGACCTCCAGGCCCTGAGAGCCCACCTTCTCTCTGCTAAGAAGAGCCCCAGCCCGAGGACCTGTCACCTCATTCTTGAAGGCACAGAAGGAAATTCACCTCATTTGCAGGCTACACTCCTTCAACACTCAGCTGGAGAGGTCAGACGCTACAAGAACATCAGAGTGATCTGTGTGGGGGACCCCGGAGCTGCTCCGGCATGGGAGCAGGAATAACGCCTGAGAGAGGAAGTCAAACCTCATTTCATGAAGTGCACATGTAGTTTGGAAATGCATTCATGCAGCCACCGTATGGTACTGATTACAGCTTTGATACCGCAGAGGACAACATTTTTAGCTCAGGATATAAAAGGCTGGGGAATGCATCGGAATATTATTAGACCATAAAAAGGAGGGAAGTATTGATACATGCTACAACATGGATGAACCTTAGAAACACGCTACGTAAAGAAAAACCAGTCACACACACACACACACACAAAAACCCCCCAAAAACAAAAGAAAAAACCACCCCACATCCTGCATGATTCCATTTATATGAGATGTACAAGAGGCAAATCCATAAAGACAGAAAGTAGATTTGTTGTTGGGGTGGGGCAGTAGGGGTGGGTTGGGGGTGACAGCTAAAGGGTGCAGAGTTTCTTTGGGGGATGATGAGAATGTTCTTAAGTTAACTATGGCACTAGCTGCACAATTCTGTGAAAAAATGAAATTCTGAGAATAAAATAAAACTCTAAAACCATTGATTTGTATGCCTTAGGAGGTGAACTGGATAATCTGTGAATTATATCTCATTAAAGCTGTTACAAGAAGAAAAAGGTGGGGATATCTGGCAGGAGAAGGGGTTTCCAAGAGCACGGATACCGGGTTTTTCAGATATGGTTCTCTTTTAGCTCCCTTGGCTCCTATGATCATTTCAAAATCCGTGTGTCAGGATGACAAACCAGAAATCCACTGTACCCTTTGAGAATCATTAGTGCCCATTCTCTTTTGGGCAGCTCTGTAAAATTGGACCCCACTGAACCAGGCATTTCATTTTCTTGTTTGAAGACATTGGGAAAACCAAGTCCTGCTGTCATGTAACATTTTTAATTGTTTTCGGGTGAGCATTTGATCTGTTGACTCACCGCTGTGGGTATGCAGATAAAATGGCTGTTGGCAGTATAGAGAGTCATTTAGAGCCTAAAACCAAGACTGCAAGGTGAAGCGGTAGCCAAACAAGACTTCTGGGAGCTTGCGTAATGTACCTATAAATTTCAGAGCCTCCTAAGCCCCCAGATTAAAATCACTCTTCTCCCATTTGCTTGTTCTTTTCCTACTCTTCCCATTTGCTGCCAATCTGATCGCTAAAAGTACTTTCAAAACAAATTTTGACCAAAGAACTTGATTGCTTATTCAATGTGAACATCATAGATAGGAATAAAGGATTAAAAAATATATAGTCTGGAATATCTGGAACAACATGGTTTCAAGAGCAACATCATTTGGTTTGTTGCATGAAAAATGCCTTTTGTTCCCATGATCACCACCTCCCAAAGAGGCAGGGTCTATATCCTTACCACATGCATAGGTGACAGTGAGGTATTTTTTCACTCCTGGCAGACAGGGGCTCCCGAAATGGTGATTGTTGACCATGATTTTGCATCTCTGCTTCCCATAGCACCTCCTGGATAATACTTGCAAAGCCGAATAAGACAGGCAGTCTGAAAGGCAGGGAACGTCAACAAGAATTTTAGGTTGCATCCGTATCTGGCTAACCACATAGCTTATGCTATTTTCTGTAAGTAAATACACTGAGCTGGGTTTCAAGTCTCATGGAGATAGTTTCTCAGATAATTTTCTGTCTCATTAAAATACCCAAGATGCTTTCCCATATAAATCATATGGGCTAAGTCCCCTATAGGCAGAGTGGGCTCCATGACATGTGTTAGAAGGGCCCTGAGCTTACTGTGATGCTCTGTTGTCACCATCTTAAATTCTTACATATTTTTGAGGAAGGGGGTCCTACATTTTCATTTTGCATCAAGCCCCACAAATTACATAACTGGCCTTGTTCACAGAACAGGCAAAATATGTAGAAAGCTGAATGAAGATTATTTCTTTTATGCCCCTTACCACACCTTAAAATATTTTATTTGCCTTTTTTTTTTAGAGAGAGAGAGAGCATGCACACAAGAGCAGGCGGGGGGGAGGTACAGAGGGAGAGGAAGAAAGAATTTTTTTTTTTTTTAAGATTTTATTTATTTACTTGAGGGAGAGAGATGGAGTGCACACAGGGAGGGGGAGTGGGAGAGGGAGAACCAGGCTTCCCCCTGAGCCAAGAGCCTGACTTGGGGCTCGATCCCAGGACCCTGGGATCATGACCTGAGTTGAAGGCAGACATTTAACCGACTGAGCCACCCAGGTGCCCTGAGGAAGAAAGAGAATCGTAAGCAGGATCTACACTCAGTGTGGAGCCGGATGTGGGGCTTGATCTCAAAACCCTGAGATCATGACCTGAAATCAAGAGTCTGAGGCTTAACTGACTGAGCCACCCAGGCACCCCTATTTGTCTACTTTGCGAATCCATCTCCCCTGTGTGGACATAAGCTCCAAGAGGACAGGGACTCTTTCTGTCTTGTTTGTCATCAAAATCCCACATCCTGGGGCAATGTCGAAAACCAGTAAATAACTAATGAATGAATGAAATGAACTAATAAACATGAGGGTATGTTTTTCAGCACCTGGCACAATGCCATCACAATTAGTAAATATGAATTTCACATGTATAGAGCTGAGGTGTGGAGATGCTATGTGCTATAAGGAAAAACAAGTCAAAGAAGTCTACCTTGCATTCACAGGATGTGCTGGAGCTGGAGACAAAACCCACACATGGGACCTGATGTCCAACAACGTGAAACAGGGCATGAGCATCAGCAGTGTGTGGCCAGGACAAGAGGAGCTGGGGCCAGAGTCGGGAGAGATCAGTGTGGACTAGCATGGTCACAACAGGCTTTCTAGGGCAGAGGGACTTGGTCACAGAGAAAGTGCATGAATTGCGTAGGAGCAAGCAAGACAGAAAAGCACGAATACCAAAGTAAGGGGGCTAGCGTCACTTAAGGGGAGTCCAGGGCGCTGACCGTGAGCTGGAATAGTGGGTATGGCCAGGGAAGCCATAGAGAATGAGCGGGAAAAGGAACCTGGAGAGAGGCTGAGCTTGCCTGTGAATGCTTAGCCAAAGACAGACTTTATTCTGCAAGCAATTTTTTTCTCCCTCAAAATAAGTATAATACAAAGGATGTAAATATCTCTAAATCAAAAAAGTGGTTCATCTAACCTACTGGGTGTTGGTAGAGAATGTCATGGAATGAAAGTGATGACAACAGCTTGACTTCAGATGGAACTGGACTATTTAAAATGGGGTTTCCAGGAAAAATAGGCACTGATTTCTAGAAGGAAATTCACTCCTTACTGAAGCTATTTCTTGAGCCAATATGGCTGGTTAATGTTTTCATGAGTACAAGTAACCCAGTGCAGGATTCTCCGACATCACCAGCTGAGACCTAAAGAAATGGCCTGATGCTACTGTCCTTTACAGACAGTGTACAGGAGGCCCCAGAGAGAAAGGGAACCAAACTCAGCTTGGAAGCAATGGGCAGGGCACCTGGGGGCTTAGTTGGTTGAGTGTCCGACTCTTGGTTTTTGGCTCAGGTCATGATCTCAGGGTTGTAGGATTAAGTCCAGCGTGGGGCTCCTTGCTCAGCGGGGAGTCTGCTGGAGATTCTCTCTCTCTCCCCCTCTGCCTGACCCCCACTATCTAAACAAACAAACAAACAAACAAATAAATGAATAAAATCCTTAAAAAAATAATACACTCTGGAAGGAATTACGAGCTTGGAGAGCAGAGAACAGAGGAGAGAATTTTAGAGACCTTACAAAGTTTGGTTCACTTACAACAACAGCTAACATGACAGGCTATTCTCAGCACTTGTCCGTCAATTGATATGGTGTGTTCCCAATGCTCTGTGACATGGGTTGTTTATCAGATATGTAATATACATATTATAATAAGTTATATATAATATATATAAAATATATATATAACATAGTTTGTTTATATAATATATAAATCAGGGACATACAAATTAAGGCCACAATGAAAATAATATTTTGCACTTTCTAGATCAGCAAAACTTAAGAAGACTGACAATCCCAAGTGTTGAAGAAGATACCTATCAATGGAAACTCTTGAGCATGGCTGGTGAGAGGGTAAACCGACTCTAGACCATACACTGACGTCTTTTAAATTGACACATTTCACATCCTCACACTCAGCAGTTTCGTTTCCAAGAGTCTATAGGCTCACCTAGCCTTTCTCTAAACCCTTCAGAATTCACAGTCAAGAGATCTGAGAATGGGATGTACGATTTCTGCATTGGGAAGAAGTAGCTGTCTGACTTATGAAATTATTCTTAGAAGTCTGATGTAACTGTTGTTTATTCTGTTGCAAAGGAAATACATGTTTGTAGTTAAAAACTCGAAAAGCACATGGGGCGCCTGGGTGGCTCAGTTGGTTAAGCGACTGCCTTCGGCTCAGGTCATGATCCTGGAGTCCTGGGATCGAGTCCCACATCGGGCTCCCAGCTCAGCAGGGAGCCTGCTTCTTCCTCTGACCCTCTCCCCTCTCATGCTGTTTCTTTCTCTCTCTCTAATAAATAAATAAAACCTTTAAAAAAAAAAAAGAAAACTCGAAAAGCACAGATAAGCCCAAACTAGGAAAATTAAAATTCTAGGTAAATCCGAAACAACAACAACAACAACAACAACAACAACAACAACAAAACCATTAACCTTTAAGGAACCTCCTTCTGGCCACTTTTCTGTGTGTGAATGTCCTTCCCCCTCAAAGGTATCATATACATATCACTTTGTATGCTGCTTTTTCCCATTTAATATATCTGCACAAATTTTAACATGAACATCATTTTAAAGAATTGCATAGGTTTTCATTGTATGGATGTATTTACAATACCCAATGCAATCATCGTTCAGATGATTTCTGGTTTTGAACATTAGAAGCAGTTCCATGTGGGGGCGCCTGGGTGGCTCAGTCAGTTAGGCATCTGACTCTTGATTTTGGCTCATGTCATGATCTCAGGGTCCTGGGATGGACCCCATGCTCAGCAGGGAGTCTGCTGGAGATTCTCCTGCTCCATCTGCCCCTCCCCGCCCCACGCTCTCTTTCTCTCAAATAAATAAATAAATAGAAGCAGTTTTATGTGGAACATCCTTAGAGCCACATATTTGCACACAAGTGTGATAGTTCCCACAGGAATTCTTGGAAGTAGATTGCTTTGTCAAAGGCTATTCAAAATATTAAGGCTTTTGATACACACTGTCAAACTGTTATCCAGAAAAGTTCTTCTAATTCACACTCCCAGCAGAATTGTATGAGTGCCCTAGAAACCTTGTATTTTCTTAGGGTGTGTGCCTGACCATATTCTTTAAGGCTAACAGAGGAAGGAAAAAGAAACCCCTCTCACTTGTAAGACCACAACCCTCTTTGACCCAGGAGGTCTTGTGACGAGCGTGATTTATAGAGCGTGCCTCTGCACTCTTAAATTACCCTGGGAGCAAAAGAGTTTATCTTGGTCAGAGTGAAACCCACAGTGTGTTTTCAGGAAGAGGCCCAAGGTAATTCAGGTCGGATTCAGGTCTGACCATACCCTTATTGACACTGAGCTCTGAACTGTTTGCAGGATTTTTTTTTTCCCAGTGATTATCTCCCTCTCAGGCTGATTTTGTTTGCACCCTCTCTTCCTGGCAAACTATCCTCCACCCCCAATCCATCTGATAACACGATATTCAACCATTTAATTTTTATTTTTTTAGCTATTGTTTAACACTGAAACTGAAGTTAATTAATCCTCACAACGTGTGTTTATTTTGATAATTAGGCTGCTCTTGGCAGTGGGAGCCCCTGGCACCTTAATCTTTGGCTGGGAAGTCGAGGCCCACCCACACTTGGCCTTGCGATGGCCTTAGCCCAGAACTTGAGGCCCACTGGGTAGTTTTCTCGTTCTCTTATTAAGGAAACAGCAGGATCCCTGGAGCCCACCCAGAAAATGTAACTGCAGCAGGAAATGACATGTCACAGTGGACGCCCAGCCAGGGGACCTTCCCGAAGTTCATGCCCACGTGTGTGGGAAGGCATACCCCCTTCCGTGTTAAGATGTAGTTTCACTGGTGTTCACGTGGGGCCAACAGTGATCGATCACTTTCACACTTTCCCTTCTCTTTCACTCGACAAGACATAGGTTCAGACAGATCTGACTTGCTGGATGCTCTTTCAGGCATATCTTTGAAGGGTCAGCACCCTCAAGATAAGACACCAGATGTAGCTTTGTTTGGAACTTGAGGGACAAAAAGATGTCACTTTTTGGAGATGGTCTCACAGCTGGCTTAGTCATTCGTCTTGTGCGTCTTCCCTTTTATTTTATAGTTGAGGGTTATTTCCAGGTATTCGTTTGCTAGGGTTGCTGTAACAAGTACCCCCCCCCGGGAGCTTAAAGAGCAGAAATGCATTTCCTCTCCATTCTGGAGGCTGGAAGTCCAAGGTGTCCGCAGGGTTGTTCCTTCTCTGAGGTCTCTCTCCTGGGCTTGCAGATGGCGGTCCTCTCTCCGTGTCCTCGCGTGGTCTTCTCTGTGTCTGTCTGTGTCCTAA